AATGATTTAAAGATAGATAATGGCATCTAATATATTAAAACACATGCCAAATTAAATAAAGTTATTCTATTACCCCATCTGTTAACAATGAGTACCAAACAAAATATTGTTTTTTATTGTTGGCACTCCAAGTATGAACGCGTTCAAGAACAGACTAGATAAAGCTATGGAAAAATATATGTTCAGATTTGAAATGCCTAGCTCCTTATCGAACCCGGTGGAAGTCTAGTAGCTACTTCAAACTATCATCAGTCATGAAAAGATCTGGTCAAATGACACAAGTTTAGATCTATGAACAAGGCACAAAAGGAAAAGAATCGGCAACAGTCCACATCAGGCCTACACTTCAGCGCCGACATCACTATGTTATTTTATTACCTTACTTATGATATGTAATACCAAAAACATTTTTTCTTCACCCTTGATGAGTTTCGTCATTATAATCGGTACTCATGCTTTTCATATGAATAATACTCTAAGTTGTCAAATTGTCAACACTCTATGCAATTGCTTAGCATTTACTTGCACAATTATTCGCTTAGCATCCACCCGCACAGCTCGTATAATGAATATTTCCATAAGCCCTCTGCAAGTTTTAAGGTTACATGTTAATGCTATGTAATGTATTAATACTGCCGGCACTAAACTGATTAACCTAAAGTATGTAACCATGCAACCGTAAAACTCGGGGAAGGTTAAAGGGAATAGATTGACAATAGTCTTAGGCATATAGTTCCGTTATTATGAATGTTGCGCATCGTTACGTGATTTATTAAGTGATTTGTATGTAATGTGCCCTAATCTTCATCAATCGAACAAAACCGGTTTGACTGGGGTTATAACTCGGTTACAGCTCATTGTGTGAGCTTTGAAATAGTTTCAATCACGATGAAGAGGATGAATGAGTTAGTTTTTGGAGATTGAGGAATATTGCACAGCATTCTATGGTATTATGAATTGTTATTATTATCAATGATCAGCTGAGCACAGGCTCGGCATTGACAAATCTATATGAATAACTTCATGCCAAGGCCAACACGTTATTGTCTGACTGATGTTACTATACTCTAAAAGAAGGGCCAAATAATATCCATTGATTTTCACTCACATATGAATTACTGCATAGGAAAGTGTTATAGACCACGACTTTTATAGATTATTATTTGAATAGCAAAAATTGCCAATCTCATGGGAGATAAATGAGAATAATGAACAGTAACCCAGAGGCTACAGTTCTGATTACCTGGACGTACTTGGCCAGAGAAGTGCGGGTTCGATCCCAGCTCTGTGCACCATGTGTAATTAACACGATAATAATTTAAATAAGCGTTAGTCGTTATGCATTAATTCTGTTAACCGTATTATTTTTATCAATTAAAATGTAAATTGTGTATGTATTAATTATATAAAATTATGTAAGGAGTGACATTCGGATCTAATATGTACATGGATTGTCCAATGTGTTTAATCAAAATTTGTATGATAAGTCGATCAGCAAGACGCATTTTTACTAATTATAGAAATTTTGAATCGAATAAATTTGTTTTATGTATTGTATTGGCTTATAAAACTGAAAGTGAATATTGATGTCTCTGGTTTTCTGACACAACCACTAGCTGAACATGATTGATGTCCAAACAACGTGCAAAGACAATGTTAAATGTTAGCACGTTTGTCATGAGATCAATTTCAAAAACATAATTCTTAGCATGGATTTTTAATGTTCTGATTTATGCTTTCTTGAAATTCGTAACTCGCTACTGAAGGGTTTGATGTAGCTGCTCGCATGTCCGCAATCCGCATTATGAGAGACGTTAAGTGTAGTGAGTGACTTTATCTGTGAAACTGTAAGAGAAGGTAGGGTAAACGCGGTATATTCCAACATCATAGGTTATTCCGTCACTTCTCTAGTTTTTCCTTTATATTAAGCTTTGTTTTAGTTCCATGCCTTCATTGATGGTTGAAATGGTGACGTCATACATTTGCAAGTCAAAATACTGCAAAAAGACTAGGTCTTGGCCATCTAGTGGGAAAATATTGAGATCCGAAGAGAGACAATGCATGCCACCTGGTGAGATCATCGAAAAATGTGTCAAATTTGACAGTTGACCTTGCTCTACCAAATAGTGAATAACTGTTTTTATAGGAAGAATATTATGGTTTGAGACTTTTAAATACGTCTGTGAAT